CGACGGGAAAACGGTTTTCGTGTAAGTCAATTCTGTAGTCGATCCCCTTCTCGAGTAACGCTGCCACTCACCCAAGAGAAACGGCGTAGGCCGTCGAGCCCAGCCAGCCGACGGGCAGCATCGGCGGCAGGTCGGATCCCGACGTGCTCGCGTCGTGGCAAAAATCATGGCGGAAGTTGTGTGTGTCCCAGCCATCTTCTGGTGTTGCGTGCTCCTTCCCCCTCCCTCCTCCCATCCTTGCCCGGCGGGCATCATAGGCGGCAGGTCGGACCCAGACATGCTCGCGTCGTGGCAAAACTCACGACGGAAGTTTTTGCTTCCAGCCATCTCCTGGTGTTGGGTGCTCGTTTTGAAGAGACAGGGGCCCGCGTCATTCCTCCCTCCTCTTCCCTCCTTTCATCCTTGCCTCAGCCCTCCGCACCTCCGTATGGGCATATCATTCATACGTTTTGTGGCCCGACGTGGAGCTCCACAGAAGGCTCCAGTGGCAGCGTTCGCATGGCGGACCTCGCATTTTCTTTTCGGCACACCCCTCACACGCTTCGTGGCCCCATGTGGAACTCCACCGAAGGCCCCAGTGGCAGCGTCCGCATGCCGACCCCGCACCCATTTCGGGACTCTCCTTGCAGGTTTCGTGGCCCCATAGGGAGATCCACCGAATGCCCCAGTGGCAGCGCTCGCATGGCGGACCCGCACCAGTTGCTGCACACCGTCATACGCTTCGTGGCCCCATAGGGAGCTCCACCGAAAGCCCCAGTGGCAGCGCTTGCATGGCTGGCCCGCATCTCCATTTTGGCACACCCCTCACACGCTGTGCGGCTCCATGTGGAGCTCCACCGAAGGCCCAGGTGGCAGCGTCCGCCCGGCGGCCCCGCACCTATTTTGGCACTCTCCTCGCATGTCTCGTGGCCCCATTGGGAGCCTCACCGAAGGCCCCAGTGGCAGCGTTCGCATGGCGGCCCCGCGCCCATCTCGGCACGCCCGTCACGTGCCGTGGGCCCGTAGGGAGCTCCACCGAAGTCCCCAAAGGCATATTTCGCATGGCGGCCTTGCGCACATGTCGGCACCCCCATCGAGAGCCCCAGTGGCAGCGTTCGCATTGCGGCCCCGCGCCCACTTCGGCACGCCCCTCACACGTTTCGTGGCCCCAAATGGATGGAGCTCCACCGAATGCCCCAGTGGCAGCGTTCGCATGGCGGTCCCGCACCAATCTTGGCACTCTCCTTGCACGTTTCGTGGCCCAATAGGGAGCTCCACCGAAGGCCCCAGTGGCAGCGTTCGCATGGCGGCCGCCCCGCATCGATTCGGTCTCTCGCACGTCTCGTGGCCCCAGAGGGAGCTTTACCGAATGTTCTAGTGGCAGCGTTCGCATGGCGGCCCCGCGCCAATTTTGCCTCGCACGTCTCGTGGCCCCAGACGGAGCTCCCCTTTCTTCGTCCAATCTGCCTTGCGGTGCCCACGCCTGCATATGGGTTTTTGGGTCTTTCGCCAGGCTGATCCATTGGTTCAGCCTCAGGGGCCCTCACAGGGCCCCAGGACCAGAGCATCTCGGGGTGAAAAGCCGGCCTTGTATAAAGGACCGCGACTTCTGGAGACCCCGTGTTGAGCAAGTCAGGGCATGGGATATCTGGAGAAGAGGGCCAGTCGAGACTATAGCGGCCCTCCCTAGCGTACGTTTTGTTCTTATCCTCGCGTCAGGTGGTTCGGACACCTTTCGCTTCCATCTCATCTCATCTCATTGGGACCTCCTGGAGGCTTCTCGCCGCCCCTGCTGGAGGATCCGCCTCGAGAAACAGGTCCGTCCAGGGGACCGATTTTTCAGCGGAGTCGGGGGAGCCGCCGTTGTCTCCGACGGGCCCCTTGCGAGCGACGGGCCGCGATCCCAAGGGGGGCTGTGCCCTCGAGGGCGGTCTCCTTCCGCCGGCGGAAGCGAGGCGAGGGCGGCTCCGCCGGCGGAAGGCCGGCGGGGGCTGGCGGAAGCGAGGACGAATTGCCCCCCCCCCCCCCCCCCCCAAGGATGTCTCGGCTGTTAGTTTAGGGTTCGGGGTTTCCAGATCTGGCCGCGTACCCTTTCAGCGGTTTGCTCGCTGGCAGCGTCCAGATATTGTGCTGGCCTCCAGCCAGTGCCGCGGATCCGGGGCGCTCCGCATGATGATGGTGATGATGGTGATGATGATGGTGATGATGATGATGATGATAGTGATGATGATGATGCTGCTGCTGCTGTTGATGATGATGATGATGATGATGATGATGATGATGATGATGATGATGGTCATGATGATGTTTATCATGGTAATGGCCATGGGGCCCTTCGTACTGTGTAGTGCCTGCTGGTGTTCCTCCTGGCAGTGTAAGAGTTAACAGCGCACTGCGCAGCATGTATTGCTTCTAGTGCGTCTTCCAGTGACCTCGACATCATCTCTTATCCGTAAGGGCTTCGCCCCCTGCCGCTGGCCCCTTCCTTCGGATAATGGGCAATGCAAGAGCGAAATCATGAGGCCTTGGCGCCGCCTTGAAGCAGCGTCGGGACTTCACGCGAAGACGATGAATAATCGGCAAGACAACTTGAGATTCTGATGATACTGTTGAATTCGGTGTTGCATTTCGAGCTTGCTCGCGTATGCTGTGCAAAAAGCTTTTCTACGAAGTATTGAAATTTTGCAAATCCCATTTGTTTTTTTGACCCTGACCCCCCCGATCTGCGTGAGGGGTGCCACCGAATTTCGAGATATGTGGCAAATCCCGGGTGTTTTTCGACCTTGACCCCGCCAATCTGCATGAGGAGTGCCACCGAATTTCAGAAATGTGGCAAATCCCTTGTGTTTTTGGACCCTGACCTTGCCGATCTTCGTGAGGGAGGCCACCGAATCTCAAGCCATGTGGCAAATCCCATTTGTTTTTCGACCCTCACCCCGGCGATCTGCGTGAGGGGTGCCACCGAATTTTAGAAATGTGGCACATCCCATCGGGTTCTTCGAGCCTGACCCCGCCGTTCTGCGTGAGGCCGTCGAATTTCAAGACATGTGGCAAATCCCATGTGTTTTTGGACCCTGACCCCGCCTATCTGCGTAAGGGGTGCCACCGAATTTTAGAAATGTGGCACATCCCATCGGGTTTTTCGAGCCTGATCCCGCGGATCTGTGTGAGGGGTGCCGTAGAATTTTAGAATGTTGCAAATCCCATATGTTTTTCTATCCTGACGCTGGCGATCTGCTTGGGGGGTGCCACAGAATTTCAAGACATGTGGCAAATCCCATGTGTTTTTCGAGCCTGACTCCGGCGATCTGCGTGAGGGGTGCCACCGGATTTTAGAAATGTGGCACATCCCATCGGGTTTTTCGAGCCTAACCCCGCCGATCTGCGTGAGGGAGGCCACCGAGTTTCAAGACATGTTGCAAATCCCATTGGTTTTTGGACTTTAACCCCGGCGATCTGCGTGAGGGGTGCCACCAAATTTTAGAAATGTTGCAAATCCCATAAGGTTATTCGACCCTGACCCCGCTGATCTGTGTGAGGGGTGCCGCCGAATTTCAGAAATGTGGCAAATCCCATGTGTTTCCCTGACCCTGCCGACCTGCGTGAGGGGTGTCAATTTCACCCCCCTCAGAAATTCTGAGACCCTCCAGGGAGGTGCTAACCAGGGCTGTTTTCGCCTCCCCCCTTCGCGCGGTCTACAACAAGGGACAGTAAGCAGCATAAAGCAGAACTGTAACAGTGGAACTGAAAATTGTAACTGGCGCAGGGATTAGCAAGCCCTCGTCTTACAGCCTGGTGGCCCCACAAGGGGGCCGGCGGATTGTATCTCCCAACAGGCCTCCCATCATATGATGTGTACAATTATATGTTCGTGCCACTTTTAGAAACGAGGAAGGCGTATGATGCGCACATTTGCTTACCACGCCCTTTCCAGACACGTGCGTAGAACCTCTCAACCACTTCCCGCACTGCACCTTGTGTCGTCGGCGCGCCGCTGGGGGGAAGCCAGAGGGGGCAGGCCTTCTCAGAAGGCGGCGGGGCTTCTCAGAAGCCCTCCAGCCTCCCGGGAAGTCCGCAGTGGCCCTGGATAACGCTCAGGAAGCATTGCAGAAGGCCGGCAGGAGACCTTCTGAGTCTTCCGAGAGGGCCCGCCTGATCTGCATTCCGTGGCGCGAGCTAAACGGTGCTTTGGCGATCCCGTGGACCGTTTTCGTCTTGATCTCGTCTTGCGGCGACGGCGGGGAACGAAGACAGAACGGGGGCACACGAGCACAGAACGGAACACGGAACACACTGCTTAGCTCGAGCCCTGCTGCATTCCCCTCTGGGCGCGCTGCCGATTGTGGGCAGGCGAGCCTGTGCCTCAGATTGGGCACCGTCCGCGGCGACAACCGACAGCGATTCCGATCCCGAGTCGACGTGCCCATGTCGATCGTGCCGAGCTGCGTGCGCCCCGACGGCTTTCGTCGCGTGTCCGTCCGGGCAGCGCAGCGCGAGGGCCCTTCCCGCGCGAGGACGCGGCGCCCTCGCGCGGTGGCGCACGCGGGCCGCTCGCGCGCGGCGCGCCGCGCGGCCTGGGCATCCGGCCCCGCCCCGCGGGACAGTCCGCGGGCGTCCGCCCTCTGCTTCAGCCCTCGTCGGAGGGGCCGCGCCCCCGGCGCCCTGGCCGGGCCTGGCCCCTCGCGCCCCTCTTCCTGCTCCCGGGGCTCTCCTCGCCCTCCTCCCTCCTCGCCCTCCTCCCTCCTCCCTCCTCCCTCCTCCCTCCTCCTCCTCCCTCCTTCCCTCCTCCCTCCTCCTCCCTCCTCCTCCTCCTCCTCCTCCTCCTCCTCCTCCCTCCTCCTCTTCCTCCTCCTCCTCCTCTCCCTCCTCCTCCTCCCTCCTCCCTCCCCTCCCTCCTCCTCATCATCATCATTATCATCATCATCTTCCTCCTCCTCCCCCTCCTCCTCCTCCTCCTCCTTCTCCTCCTCCTCCTGCGGGGGCTGCCCCGCCGTCGCCTTCCCATCACTGCCTTGCCGTAG